GAAAGAATATAAGTGATTGAATGTGAGTGGAGGGGTAAATAAGAATTTATTATTATAAATAAAATTAAAAGGAGTATGAATGAGAATGTAACAGCAAATACCTGAACTACACTTCTTCTTCTTAAATTACCCTCAAATGATCTTGATGATTTTCTTGCGTTAGTATTATTAGTAGTAGTAGTAGTAGTAGAAGAAATAATTTCATCATCAATTTCCATCCTTCTACTATCATCGTCGTCAACATCATCGTCGTCGTGTTCCCAAGGATCATCTTCATCGTTGTTATTTTTTTTGTTACTATTGTTCCTTTTATTCTTATTCTTTTTATTATTTACTTCTAATTCATCAACGGAATTATCATCATCATCCTCATCATCGTCATCAGAATACGAAACAACACTAGGTTTTAAACGTTTATTACGATGACCATCCTTATTGTTTTTGCTATTACGACTACCTCCATTATTATTACCAGTAGTAGATTTATTTGGTAATAATTTTTTATTAATATTTAATTTTTTAATTTTATTAATATTATTATCATCATCATTTCCTCCATAATGCTCATCATATAAACCATCATAATCTTGATATCCGTTATCATCCTCGTCTTCATAATAATCTTCATAATTGCCATCATTATCATTGTTATTGCTATTATTATTATTACTGTTATTATTATCAATAGTATTACGACGTGTATATTTTCTTTTTTGTCTTTTACTACCAGAACGCCTAATCAACTTTAATACAAGATCACCATCATTATTACCATTGTCTTCTTCTTCTTCTTCAATATTATAATGATGATAATGATGATAATAATAGTGGGGATGGATTAATATAATTAATAGTATGTGTGATATTTTATAGGGTTTATTAATTATAGTGTGATTAAGATAATCGTAGTAGGTAGGATGATAAAATATGTACGTTAATTTATTTTTTATTTTTATCAAAAAAAGAAAGAAGAAAAAAATTAGATATAATAATAATGAGAAAATATAATAATAATAATAATAATAATAATAATAATAATAAATAAATGGTTATAGTTCTCTTGCTTTC